TAAGAACAAAATGGGCAGGGGCTGATAGGAAAGGAACTGGGGACTGGGTGCTTGGGTCCCTTGGATGGGAGAGGCTACAAGGAGTGTGACCACATTCACTCAGCTTCCTACTTGCTCCAGGTTGAATGTAATTCAAAACTGGACCCCATCCAGATTTCTTTTTTCAAGGTCAGTAACCCTACTCCATGCCCAGCCTGAGTCCTGGCCCCCTGTCCAGACACATATCTCCTGAATCCTAGATTCAGCTTCTAGGCCTCCAGCGTCCTATCTGGGAGCGAGTGGGGTGGATGAAGTAAAAACAAACAAACAATAAAAAACCCTAAGGGCCTGGAGTGGGGAAGCTGGGGGAGACCCTTTCTACCTCCCGCTGGCTCACTTGGTTCATGTGTGTACCACTTTTTCTCGGTGACTGTCTCCCGAATAGATGGCCGACTCTGGAGGTCAGCCCCAGCTCACTCAGGTGAGTAGCCCCAGCCATCTGAGGATTAGTGTCACTGAACTATGCCCTTTGCCACACATCCCATCCCCAACTGGCCAGGGGCTTGGGCTCCTGCTCAGCTCGTAACCTCACCTCACTGTCTCCCTCTCCTCATCTTACTTCCTCAGCCAGGCAAGCTGACCGAGGCCTTCAAGTACTTCCTGCAAGGCATGGGCTACAGTGAGTAGAGGGTCAGAGGCTATTATGGGACAAGGGATTGCTGCAAGGATGAGGGATGGCCACTGAGGGAGGAACCATTCTCGGCTACTTCCCGCACTTACTGCCGTCTGCCAAATCAAGCTCACTGACCCCTGGCCCCATCTGGGACTCACACCTCACCCTGAGTGGCCAGCCTCTCTCCCTACCTCCTCTTTGCCTGCCTGCTTATCCTTCTTTCTCCACAGTGGCCTCATTCTGCATGACTCGCCTGTCCTGGTCTCGAACAGCCTCCCTGACAAGTGTGGCATCCATTGATGGCAACCGGTCCCACTCTCGAACCCTGTCCCCGAGCAGTGAGTCTGTGACTCCCTCTTCAGGGCCCTCAGGGCACACCATGGAGGTCTCTTGCTGAATGGCCCATGTTGCCCTGGTGTGGGACCCAGCCCTCGCCTGGGAGGTGCATGGAACACTGGGCCAGAGTGAGCAAGGGAAGATGGGCAGATGTCACCAACATCATGATCTTAAAAAAAGAACTACAGAAAGCTGACTGAAGTGCCCAAGGACATCTCGTGATCACCTTCCTGCAGGATGCTTCGTGAGGTCACCTAGATTCCATTTCAGGTGGTTCAATAAATCAACAGACCACACCTCATGCAGTTTCTTTTTCTTTTTTGAATCCTCACCTGAGGATATTTTTCTATTTATCTTCAGACAGAGTGGGAGGGAAAGGGAGGGGGAGAAAGGGAGAGAGAGAAACATCAAAGTGAGAGGGACACATCGACTGGTTGCCTCCTGCATGACCCTGACTGGATGAACTGCAACCGAGGTACGTGCCCTTGACCAGAAATGAACCCGTGACTCATTGGTCTGCAGGCTAAAGCTCTACTCACTGAGCAAACAGGGAGCCTCATGCAGTTTCTGTAGAGGTTGTTGGGTCACTCAGTTGAATCCAATCTGAAGACTCCTTTAGGTGAGTCACAGCAACCAGGGTTTCCTCTCAGAAATTCCTCCTCCCACATGAATCCAAGAGTTGGGGGAGCTCATTAGGCTATATCTGTGGTTCTCTGAGAATCTTCTCAATGAGTATTAACAATCATCATCAAGGGAGTCTGGCCTGTGCGGGTCAGTGGTTGAGCGTCAACCCATGCACCAAGAGGTTGCTGGTTCATTTCCCGGTCAGGGCACATGCCCAGGTTATGGGCCCGATCCCCAGTTGGGGGCATGCAGGAGGCAGCCAATCGATGTTCTCTCTCATCAATGTTTCTATCTCTCTCTTCCCCTCTCACTTCCTCTCTTTCTAACATCAATAAAAGAAAAAAATAATCATCAAGGGGATTTCAGATATTTTGTGCCTGTTGCAGGCTGACCCTTGGGCTCTTGGAGCACAAGAAGTATAAATGAGAAGGCACTTCATAGTATTATTGGCCAGAGTACTGTGGATGGAATATTACAAGGTCATTTGCCAGATTCCTTCATAGAAACCCTGCAGTCAATAATACCCTTTTTTCCATGAAACTGAGCTGACGACTAATATAACTTGATGGCTAGTGCTGACCCACTGACGTGGAGGTGGGGCGTGAAACACGCTCTTGACTCTTGAGCATTTCATCACTCTCATTGGACCACGTTCACTTTAAATGCAGGAGGCCAGGATCAGAAGGGGTGAGGGTGTTGGGTGACCATGCATGAGGCAGGTGGCAGGTACTTAAATGCCACACTGAAGACAAGATGCCGCATAATTGGAATCATTGGCACAACTAGCTCCTAGGTGAACCAAACATGAAGAAAAGGCAAATAACCCCAACCAGCTTCAGCCTGCTGCTGTGCGTTATGGAAGGGGAGGCAGGTCTCAGCACAGTCAACTGCACAGCTAACACTGTTATATTAGCAGGGTAATCAGAAGAGGGAGAAAGTCTCATTTCTGTGTAAAATGTGAGTGTGTCCCCGTACCTGCCATGGAGTGGTGTGTGAAATGAGTGACAACCGTGTGTGTCTCTCCTATAGATGTCCCTGCATACGAAGCCCAAGAGTTAGGTGGAGGGAGAGATGCTTTCTGCTGGGAGCAAGGGAGGGGGGTTTGTTGTCCTTGACTGACCTCTTTGTTGGTCTTAGACATTCCAGGCCTGCCCATGGGGGTGCAGTGCCCCCCTGTGGTTGTTGTGGTTCTTCCTAACTTTCCCCAGTTCCCAGTTCCCTTCCTGAGTCTCCCAAGGTTCTTTGGTTCTTTGTGATTTTGCACAGTAGTTACATAGGGAGGGCCCAATACCATGGTCAGTGGCTCCTGCCCACCTTCAAGATCAGGGCTTAGAGGCTCACAGGAGAGGTGGGGTGACTTTACAGAAGCTGAACGACAAACTCCTTACTTTTTGTCTCTGCTTCAGCCTTAGGACTCCCGTTTCTCTCTTCCTCTCAATCTCAAGGAATGTGTTTCCCGACTTTAGGGACAGAAATCCAAGATAGCTAAGAGACCGTTCAATGGGAAGGAGAATAAAACTGAAGAATGCAGCGATGAGAGCCTTGTGGTGTCCGCTTGAAAACTGTGGAGCTCATGAAGAGATCTGAAAGGGTAATTCCCCGCAGGCACACACAGTGAGACTGTAGCAGAGAGATGGGTGTTAAGTTCTAGAGCACTCCTTTCTGAGCCCCTGCAGGCTGGTTGTATTCCTCTACCAAAGGCCACAGGTGTTCCTGGATGACTCCTTCCCTCAGCGTAGGTGACAGCATTGCTACTAGTCAGCCCCAGGCTGTGTACCCTGACCGGGAACTGACCCCACAACCTCTTGGTGCATGGGTCAACGCTCAACCACTGAGCCACACTGGCTGGCTGGTTATATTTATTTAGTTTTGCCTTTATCTTGGCTTCTCACTGTTCCCTGGGTGTGTAAGCTGGGCTGGCAAGGAGGTGTATACATCATAATTTGTGGGGAGGGGCATGGGGAGGGTGGACAACAGAAATAAAATGAGACAAGAATGAAACTCTGGAGACCTGCCCATGTTTAGGCCTCTTGGGCTTCTTTCTACACTGGGAGTATCTGAAGGGCAGCCTGGTGGGGGTGCCTGAGCTCACCGGGCACACCTTCTCTTTCCCTGTCTGTCCACCAGTCTGAGACATTCCTCCACCTCATGGGTCAGGGGCTGGGCAGCAGCCGTCCTGATTCTTCTCAACTCCAGATCATTGGTTTTTGTACTAGGGCAGTTATTAAGAGAAGCGACACGTTGTAGGGGTTACTCACCTGCAAGACAAATGTCCAGTGGGAGGGGCCCGAGGCAGAGTGGCAGGCAGGCAGACAGGCAGGCAGGCAGAGGAAGGCCACCGTGTCGCAGCAGAGCCAAGCAATCGCCCTTGGAATCTATGGCACCTTTCTCCCTTTCCAAACACTGCTTCTTCTTTTTTTAATTTAAATTTTTTTTCAATTACAGTTGACATGGAATATTATATTAGTTTCAACATATGCACATAGTGATTAGACATTTATATAACTTACACAGTGACTCCCCTTAAGCCTGGTACCCATGGTACACCGTATATAGTTATTATATTATTGATGATATTCCTTATGCTGTATTTTACATCCCCAAACACACTGCTCCGTAATCCGGCAGCACAAGGCAGCTGGGAGACAGAAGCTCAAAGACGAGCACCCACGTCCCTGAGGCCACACAGGATTCAGTGTGAAAAACAGAAACCAGGTGTTGGCTGGCTCCATGAGCCTCATCTCAGGAGTCCGTTGTTGCAGACAACCTTGTTACCAGGGAGTGAGGTAGGTGTGGTTAGTGTAGCAAAAAGCTAGATCCCCATGGTTTCTGTTTTTGAACGTTTTCTCTAACTGCTGGGAACTCTGGCTCAGTTTCTCAGCACCTTTGGGGGCGGGGGCAGGTTGCTGGAATTTCAGCAATGATCCCACATCTGGGGACATGGCTACAAATGACAAAATGGCTCGGGGCTCTGATTCCAGAAGACAAGACTGCATCCAACACTCGCCCTTCCCACTCCCCACCCCACTAGGCGGCTCTTGGGTAACCCGGAGAAACGGAGTAGAGCATGCTTGAAGGGGGAGGTAAAATGGACATTTTATTACACACAGTAGCAAAAATGGAACAAGAGTCAAATCTGGGGTGACGGTCTTTACATCAATTCTCCAGTGTATCGGCACTCACCTAAATTACACATTCTTTTCTCGGTCCTGGGTGAGCAGTGGGATCTCACTTAGGAAAAGGTGGAACCCAGCTCATGGGGATGATGTCTAGTGAACGCCACGCAGTCTCAGTGGAGAAGTGTCTGAGGGCCAGAGCCATATGGGATGTGTCTTCTGGGGGTAGGGACAGCATTCTAGCTGGGTCCATCAGAAAAGTCAGGAAGGTCTCAAGCCCACACGGCAATAATGGCCATGAAGGTAAAACCGCCAACTACACAGGTCCACTTGACCAAAGGGGACTCAGGACCAGATAGCTCCTTGGGCAGAATTTCTAGGAAGGTGACATAAAGGAATGTCCCAACTGCCACCCCTTCTAACACAGCCTGGGCTAAGTTTCCCTCTTTAGGGTCTTCTCCAGCCACAGCCAGCCCTATGATGAGGCCCAGGGGGGACATGAGAGCAAATGTCACTATGCAGAACAGGGACCATCGTAATGCAGTGCCTGACCCCACCAGCCGAAGTCCTATGCCAAACACAATGAACGCCCTGTGAGCCAGGAGAGCAAGACACAGCTGCACGGTAGCTACTACTGTTGTCTGCAGCCCCACAGCCATACCTTCGAACACCGAGTGGAAGGAGAGTGAGAGCAAGAGGACGAGGATTCGAAAGGGACTGTGGGAGGGTAAGGGTCGAGATGCATCCTTTTGCATTTCAAGGACAGGAGCCGCTCCCACTTCCTCCTTGTGCACTTTTGACTCTTCATTGCCTCCAGGACAGCACTGCAATGCCAGGGACTCCAAAAAGAAGATGAAGAAGAAGCCCACAGACATGACAAGCTGTCCGTAGGGATAGTTCACCTGGGAACAGAGAGAGGGGCTGTGGGGCGGGAAAGGACAGAGGTGGGGTGGGAGACTGGAGAGAACGGGAAATGTGGGGCTAGAACATCATTAGGAAGTGTAGGCGATGAAGCCCAGAGGAGACATGAACATGCAACAAGAAAACCAGAGGGACCAAGGGTGCAGTGTCAGTAGGGCTGAAATGATGGGGAGCTTGTCTAAGGGTCCAGAGAAAGAAGGACAGAGCAAAGCAAGGGCTCTGTCTGGTGTTCCATACTCCCCAAAGGACGGAGCTGGCTCCTCCTTTCCCTACAGTATCTGAGCGGAGGGGCAGAGGGATTCCTGGTGTTCCTCACGTCCTCACCTCAAAGGGTCTGGGTGTGAGGAGTCTCTGGTTCCCCTCACCCCAGGTCAGCGGTGGGAGACACTTACATAAGCTGAATTAGCAGCATCAGAAGAATTTCCCTCACTCTTTGTCCTGCCCTAGGGAGAAAAAAGCAGAAATTAAATGTCCTGTCCCTCCAGCTCCACTGCTTTCCTTAAAGCGCAGCCCGGCCTGTTGTCGTTCACACAACACAAGCGTTGTCCCCTTCCCTGTCGTTCCACCCACGTCCTTGGCTCCATCACTTCCCCTTCTCCCCTTGGTTCTGCTCATCATTCTGGCCCCTCAGCTGCTCACCCGCAATAGGAGCTTGTGGACCTCCGATTCAACTCCCTTCAGGGCTTCAGTAGTCATGTGCATGAACCCTGCTCCCATGAAAACACCAGCAGAAATGCAGCCCAGGAGGCTGAGGAGCCAGTGGCGACGACCTAATGAACAGCAGGAGTTATAGTCCAGCAGGCAATGAGGACACGGACAAAGGTGACTGAAGAGCAACAGGCAGCACCCAACATTCAAGCTTGGGGACGGCAAGAGGATCAGAGCAAGGTGTCAGGGTAGGGTGATAGGGTGGAGTCAGACTTAGGTTATGGGGGGAAAGATGCCGAAGGGCTGTACCTCTCACTGCCTCAATCTGGAACCATTTGAAGCAGATGGGAATAAAGCCACAGATCAGGGTGATAATCAGCAGGGCAAATAGGGAGCTAATTTTCGCTCCTAGTAGTGGCTCCATCCTTGGAGTACAGGATAAGCAGAGGCCTCAGAATGACAAATGGAGTTATAAGCTTTGGAGCAGGAGTGGTGCCTTAGGTGGTTCAAGCTGCAGTGTCCACTCCGAGTTGGACGCTGTTGGATCCTCCCTGTGCTACCTCTGCTTGCGCAGCCTTACAAAGCTGACATAGGCCCTCCTCTGGCCCACACTGACACAAGAAACTCCAGACTCCCAGCAGGCACAGTTCTGTGTTCTGTGTTCTACTCTTCAGTTCCATGACTAATCCAAGGGCTGTGGACTCTTATGCCTGGGGCTAGTCTAGTCTAGTTTGTGGTAGCTACTCCCCAACTGTTTTGGTTGGGGACATTTGATCTAAGCCTTCCATATCCTCTCCACCTCAACACAAGTCTTTTTAATTTTTTTTATTATTATTAATTCATTTTTGTTACAGACGGTTCTACTTTTTCCCTCATTGACACCCTCCTCCCCCTCCCCCTCCCCCCACTACATCCCCAGCATTGTTGTCTATGTCCATGGTTACGCATTCCTGCATCTAAGTTCTGTGGTCTATCTCTTCCCTCCCCCACCCTCACCCCCTCTTCTGAGGTTTTTCAGTCTGTATCCTACTTTTATGTCTCTGGGGCTATTTTGTTCATCACTTTGTTTTGTTCATTATAAGTCAACACAAGTCTTATAGGATGCTGTGCTGATACCTTTCAGAGGGGATTTGAAGCCACCTAGCGGTAAGGATGAAGTGGGGCTGAGGAGTAGTGCTGCCAGCACTCCGGGAACTAGTAGATGAGGGGACTCCCCCTTTCCTGTAACCTGAGAAAAATAGCACCAGGTATGAAAATATTTAGTGGGCATTGAGATTTCTAGTATTACAACATTGGAACTGTTACCACTTCTGACTGTTTGTATTTCCTGATCTATATAGCGGAACAGGGACTGCGAGTTTTAATACAAAAAAAGTTGCTCTAGCTCTGAAACGGCAAGGCCTAGGGGAGAACAGAAGTGAACCCAGTAAATGAAGGACCCTGCCTGACATACAGGGGTAGTTATGGAAGATTCAGTATTGATGGGATCAACTCTTAAAGGAAACTCATGAGGCAAACTTTGGGAGCACAAGAACAGGCATATAGACCAGTGGAACAGAACAGAGATCCCAGAAATGGACCCAAGACAATATGCTCAATATTTGACAAAGGTGGCAGAGCATACAATGGAGTAAAGACAGTCTCTTGAATAAATGGTGTTAGAAAAATTGGACAACTACATGCAAAAAAGTAAAACTAGACCATCAACTCACACCATGCACAAGTATAAACTCAAAATGGATAAAAAATTTAAATGTGACTCTTGAGTCCATAAAAATCCTGGAAAAAAATGTAAGCAACAAAATTTAAGAGACCATATGCAGCAGAATTTTCACTGATATATCACCTAAGGCAACAAAAGAAAAAATGAACACATGGGACTACATCAAACTAAAAAGCTTCTGCACAGCAAAAGAAACAACCATCAAAATGAAAAGGGAACCCACTGTATAGGACAGCATAATTGCCAATGATACATCAGATAAGGGGTTAGTTTCCAAAATATATAGAGTGCTCATACAACTCAACAAAAGGAAGACAAAGAACCCAATTAAAAAATGAGCAGAGGAGCTAAATAGACACTTCTCCAAACAGGACATACAAATGGCCAAGAGACATATGAAGAAATGCTCAATGTCACTGATCAACAGAGAGATGCAAATTAAAACAACTATGAGGTATCACCTCACACCTGCCAGAATGGCCAACATCAACAAATCATCAAACAACAAGTGCTGGCAAGGATGTGGAGCAAAGGGGACTCCAGCACACTGTTGGTGGGAAAGCAGACTGGTGTAGTCAGTACGGGAAACAGTATGGTAGTTCCTCAAACAATTAAAAAACTGAATTTCTATTTGACCCGGTGACCCTACTTCTAGGAATATATCCTAAGAAGCCTGAAACACCAATCCAAAAGAATATATGTACCCCCATGTTCATAGCAGCACTATTTACAATTGCTAAGATCTGGAAACAGCCTAAGTGTCCATCAATAGACGAGTGGATCAAAAAACTGTGGTACATATATACAATAGAATATTATGCAGCTGTAAGAAAGAAAGATCTATCTTTGGAAAAGACATGGAGGGACCTCGAGAGTATTATGCTAAGTGAAATAAGCCAATCAGAGAAAGACAAATACCACATGATCTCACTTATTTGTGAAATATAATGAAAAAGGTGGGCTGATGAATGAAATAGACCCAGAGACATAGAAAGGAGTGTGGTTCACACCAACAAACCTCAGGGTAGGGGGTTGGGGGGAATGGGTGAGATGAACCAAAGAACTTATATGCATGTATGAATAACCAATGGGCATAGACAACAATGCTAGGGGTGTGTGTGTGTGTGGGGGCAGCTGGGGAGGAGAGTTGGGGGGGAAACATCTGTAACAAATAAATAAAAATTGGAAAAAAAAAAAAGAATTGAAAGACCCATTTCCATTCTTTTAAAATTTATAAATAGTATTAAAACCTCAGAAAAATGCAGATATATAGGACTACTAGTAATCCTATTACTGTACACAGTTGGAGCTCCTGGGAATCTCCCCTATTGGCCAAGATGGTGTGAGGGGGGTTCTTACACTGAGTGCACCAAAGGCTGGAAAGATAAGTGAACAGGACCCCAATACATGGAAAGCTAGAAAGATGAATGGATAGAGCCCCAGAGTGCTCAAAGCTAGAAAGATGAATGGATAGGGCCTGGAGTTCACTGAGAGCCAGCAAGATAATTGGACAGAATAAAAAGCCCTCCCCTCCCTAATCCTATAAGAACCATAGGCTTGAGCAGGAAGGGAGTGTGTTCTTTGAGACAGGAGTCCACCATTCCCCCAGGTTGAGTGGCACCTGACTGAAACCTTTTTCCTTTTGCACCAGCACCTGCTTCATCAGTTTGGCTTTCCTTGTGGCAGATAGCCAAATCTGCATTTTCAATTACACTCCCATCCTGGACATCAGGTAGCTTTAACCCTGGCAGGCATGATATAATAAAACTTTTGTTACACATCTTTGTCAGTTCTCAGAGGGGATCCTCAGCAGGGGTCAGAGAAAGCTCCATGGCATGGTCACAGGTAAAAGATCTCCCCAGGAGCTGACACGGGCACAGTGATACAAATCCCTGTGAAAAAGAGAGGTCAATGTGGGTGTAGGTTCCTGCCACCTCCCAGTAATTTTGGTCACAGTCACTGTACCTGCCATGCTGGCAGGCTGTGACCACAGCATGCTGCATGTGCCCATCTGGGCAGCACAGGTGACAGTGCACATGGCGTGGCCGTTTAAGGACAGGCTGAGTGATTGGGCCAGTGATTAACTTCGGTGATTAGCTTCCTCAGCAGACCCCCGGGCAAGGATTACCATCGAGAACTTGAACTTTTCCTCCTTTGGCTTCTTGTTCTAAGGTAAGGATAGAGAGACTGTTTTGAGAAAGAAGATATGGGAAAAAAATTGTTGACCCTTATTCCTGCATCCCTTTTCATACGCTATTACATGCACATTAAGGCCCTACAAACTCTCTCTGAGTTTTCCACTCTCTCTGGATTTTCCAACTCTTCCTGCTTTCCCAAGCTATTTCCCCTGCTACTGCAATATTCCCAGGGTACATACTCAGCTGAAGGGGATGGGATGGTAAGCCTGGGAAATGCTACAGTACAGGGGCTTAGAGGCTGTCAACTGGGGACACGGAAGTTCATGGGGACACTGTAAACACACACAAAAGACATGAGATCAGACAAAAGAACCACAAATCATAAAATGGGGAAACTAAGAGCGACGGGGTCAGGAAGGATTAGAGATAAGGGGGCACAGGAGCAGGGGGTAGGAAGAGCAGGGTATCCACTAAGAATCAGTAGGGACACTAAGCAGTGGAGGGTGGCTTGACTTTGCCCTCTCACTTGTCCTGGCCACAGCTGAGCTCAGATCTTTGCATGCTGGGAAAGGTAGAAGTAGTGCTCACTGGGGCAAAGACAAAACCAGGTTGAGGGTCCAGAGGTGACTTCTCCTTTCCCTGAAGTCAAAGGAAATAAAAAAAATTAAGCTGGGCCCGAGGAGTCTATTTTCATAAGTCCATCTCTGCACTCAGTCAGTTGAGGACTCCTTTCACATCCAATTCTGGTAATTAGTAGCTAGTTCTTTGAGTTAAGCTGGCTACTTCTCTGATACTCCAAACAAAGAACTGTCTTTTTGCAGCGGGAGAAAGGCAGGAACTTGGCACACAGGATGGTGCTCTCCTTGTCAGCAACCTCCACTCTAAAACACCCCACGACAGGACAATTAAATTCATGATTATACCCTGGCTCATGCAATTCCAAAGAGGTGATGTTCTTGGCTCAGCAATATCCTAGATCAAGGGTCAGCAAAGTTTTTTAAAGGCTCAGAGAGTAGGCAAAAACTGTCTATTCATCTCTGCCATTTGCAGTGTAGAAGCAGCCATACACAACAGACACTCCAATAAGCCTGGCTCACACAAACACAGGGGCAGGCCAGATGTGATCCACAGGCCCCAGTTTGCCAACCACCACCCTACATCATAATGACTTCATATGCCTACTATCCTGAGTGTTACTCTTTCCTCTGTATGACAGTTTTATCAGTTTCCAAGTGAGCACTAGTGTTTGGGGGTGGGGGTATGAGAAAGAGAAAGAAACTTACCTTAAGGACCAGGGCCCTGGCTTCCATGAGAAGGTGAGGCCCAGCTTGTGTTCCATTCTCTACCAGTGTCTGTTCACAAAGGAAATGTGAGCAGAAGTCCTGAATTATATGAAAACACATGAAGGGAACCAAAGTTTTGCCACCCCAAAGCTGCCATTCTGAAATATTGATTTTAAGACTTTTTTTTTTTTTAAAGAAAAGCGTTAGAAAGAAACTTTGACCCTTCCCTTTCCTGCCAAACACATTTAGATGGAAATGTGACTCCAGGAAGGGAATCTCA